CGAAAGAACTCAGCAAAATGTTCTGCTTTGTTTTTACAGTCGGAGATTTCGAAATCGTCATCATTCTGTATAACAGGAATCGTGTTCCTGTTACGTGTGCTTTTCCTTAAAAAGCTGTAAAGCAACTTTGGATTATTGACAGCTCGACAAATTCAATCGCTCTCAAAGTCCCGTCGTGCTTTGAAAACCAACTTTTTTACCTTGTTGCACTGAATTTTGTATTGTTCAAAATCTTCGTTGCGGCTTGTGTTGCAAAACTTCTTCCAAAGCTTCCCTTTTTTATTGATCTCTCTTTTTAGATCTCTTTTCAGCCACTGAGGTCGGTTAGATATCTTGGGCACTGATAGTGGACAATGACTTTGCATTAGATGCAACAACCGCTCCTTAAATTTATTCCAGTCCTCAGTGACATCCCCGGAGAAAAGAAGACCCCTACTCTTATTTAAGAGAAATCGCCTCGCCATATATTCGGCCTTGGTTCGTCTGCTGTAGGAGTTACCGAATGTAGACCATAATCCCACGAAAGTACAGCGTGATCACTTCGACCAAGTGGAGGTAGGCAGCATACATCGTCTATACTGTCGAGATGCTTGGTGAAGACTAAGTCTAAACAACTAGCCTGTTGCCCTCCTCGTGCTCTAGTTGGAACGAGGAAGTGTTTTATGAGAACAGCCTCAAGTGTTGTTTTTAGAAGATGGTGATCAAAGGCGTTTTTAGAACAGTTCGCCCGCAAATCGTTCCAACTTATTCTGGGTGCATTGAAGTCACTCATGAGTACGACATCAGGTCGAATACCTATCTCCTTTATGCATTCCAGTAAAAACGCATCTGCATCAGTGTCTGTCCGCGGTGGTCGGTAGACGGTCACCGTTTCCAGGGGCTGCGACCCCGGTGCCTTAATTGTCAGCCAAATAGCCTCCATACCATGGGTAATCCTTTCAGGCTTCTCGCACACACTTAATTAGTTCTTTACATACATAGCAACTCCTCCATCATAGCGTTCCACTCGATCTCGTCTAAATAGTTGGTATCTGGATAGCGCCACTTCGGTATCACTGATGCTCTGTGACAGCTATGTGGCCGTTATTGCTATAACATCAGCTACCTGTATTCGAAGTTCATCGAACTTCGAGAATAGACTCTGAGCGTTGGTATACAGACATTTTAGTCGGCGAGACTCTGCAGTGTCCAATTCGTTTGAGCGCGAGTTTGTCAATACTACTGTACCGCAGCCGTCATCAGTACTGGCTGCTTCCAGAGCAATATGCTGGTTTTCCGTATTATTTGTCCCCTGAAGATAGCCAGATTGCTCTCTCCAGCTTTTAATCTGCCCTGCAGTTCCGCCACCTATTCTCGGTGTTTCAGACGTTTCGCTGGAGCGTAGCCCGGCTGAAAAAAAAACACCGTCTTATGTGAGTGGCGGATGGCTGTTTTCCGGGACAGAACCAAGTTCACTTGTTCTTTGTTATCCAAGAATTTCTGTATAGGTCGAGTTCGGACAGTATCAGACTGTTTGTTGACTTGCTTGCCTATCCTGCAGGCTGCACAAACGTCTACTGTCTTTCGCTGTCTGAGAATATCTTTTAGCAGATCCCGAAACTTTTTGACGTCCGTGTCAGTCCTTTCCTCCGGAGTAGGTCAGTTTGACTCAGGTAGGCCTTGAACAACTGTGCAGTTTTGGTGGTCAAGGGAAACTCTTGATATATTTCCTGCCTTAATCTCATCTGAAGACCCCGAGGTATTGATAGGAATGGTTTGTGACTTTGTTTTTTCCTTAATTTCACCAGAGATAGGCTTCCTTCGGACGCTGGGATGACACTGTTCAGAGCTGGCTTCGTGCTGGCCCCCTTCTGCATTTGTGGTTTGCTTCAGTGCTTTGTATGCAGCTTTAGCATTCCCACTACATTGTTCTCGCTGGATCACCCTATCCGAGCCGACTTTACTAGAAAGTAGCAATGTAAAATCTCCTTCAAGAAGTAGTAAGGATTTTTTCTCCCGGTTTTTAGTGAGATGTTCAGTGGGTACGCTGGTCCGCGCAGTATCAAGTGGTTTGGAGGTGGTAGCTACCAGTTTCGCGGCCTGGGTTGGCGGTGACTGTTCACTTTCCTCATTAAATGCTACGGCCCAGGATTCTGAATTTATGCCCATCTGCTTGTTTCTTTCAAGATCATATATCGCCATGTTGTCCTCTTTGGGGAGAAAACAAAGAGGTTTCTTCAACTCCTCCATCTCCATTTTAGACTATGTAGCTTCTTCTCGTGGTTTGCAAATTTACAGTAGGTTGCCAAACTCATGCAATCCTACGATTTTTACAAGTAAC